TGGTCTTCTCTTTTGATTGAACCAGATCCTCCGAATACCTCAACAACCAGGAAAGTTCCCAGGAAAGACTGGTGGCGTCACAACCGGTCCCACTTAAGAACCAGTCTCATCGGATCACATTTCCAAGAATGTCAGACATTGCTCTGTGAGAGGTATTTGCACGTATTTGGCTTCAAGATTGTGCCGTGGTTTTGCTCAGTAATGGCAAAGGGCCTGCGGAGCCGAGCTACTTGGGCTCTTTGGTATGAAGGCCAGTCAAGTGAGAGCTCGGCTTAGACGTCCGCGGCCTAGAAGGGCTTCATGGTTCGTGCGTTGCTTGGTCGGAAGGCGCGCACCCATAGCTCGGCGTGAAGATTCGTGCCTGAAGCTCGGCAGGAAGGCCTTTGGTTGACCGGAATGACCAATCCCATGCTCGGTGTCGCCGGAATGCGGTCGAGCACGGCTGAAACGAAGCTCGGTTATTGGAAGCACTTGGTCTTGAAGTGCAGTATGGCTGTTGGCAGCCGAGAAGCTGCAGCCCGGCTGCCGAGCTCCCAGTAGAGTGGGCTGGCAGTTGGGTTAGGTGGTGTTCAGCAAGGTTTATACTGACAGATGGGATAGCGGAGCCACGTGTCAGGAGATGACTGGGAGTGGATATGGGACGCAGAGGGTATATAAGCATGTCTGCGCCCCCCATACGCGGGGAGACGAACACTTTGTAAGGATTTTCTTACACTAAAACACCCCCCCTCTCTCTCTCTCTATCCCCTGGTGTGTGTTCTAACTTGACCGTCGGAGGGGTTTTCCAGCCACACACCGCCGGGTAGCTCACCCACATTATGCTTTCAGGTGATCGGACAGAAACGGAGCTTGGAAGAAAGGAATACGGGCTCGCTTGAATATTTGCTCCCCGTACACTAAAAAATAAGAAAGAAATATTTCCACAACAAATTGCTCCTCATATTTCAATTCAACCCACTGGTCTTCAAGCTTGAAACAAGTCAAGGACCTCTAAACAGATTTCGCAACACACCCACCCTTGAAGAAGAATATCGTGAACCTGACAAATAGGCAACATTAATTTTGAGAAATAAGGTAACCAGAATTTGACAATGACTGGTACACAATAGCCAAAACATACCAGCGGCAGACTTCATAACTATTTAGTCTTGCTAAAAGCTCGAGAGAAAAATGCTTTCAAATACAATATCATAATGATTGCATAAAATAAGCTCAAACATCCACTGTTACTTTGATTAGGTAAAGATGCTTCAATAGCTCTGCGGTGAGTCCAAAAGCAAAACTAACATTTCCACTATCAGAAAGAAAAACACATTCAATGAAAACAAGGAAGATTGATAATTCCACAGCCACATAGAGGGTGTTGTGGAGAGATCCGTGATGACTGAATAAAAAAATTCCAACAAAAATCACCAAAACAATCAAAACATGTTTTCCCCAAAAGAAGTCATATGGCATGAATATTGTACAAACAATTGCATTATATGCATAAGCATTGGCACAAGCTGATTGGACTGTAACACAACAATTTATATCCCAGAAGATAAAATTGTAACGCACCACAAAGTTTAAAGGTTCTTTGGTTATTTTTAAGAACATACATTGTTGCGGATCTTGGGCACACCAGGGGACACTCACAAGCAAAAACACAAGAGTTTTAACGTGGTTCGGCAAACCGGCCTACGTCCACGGGAGCGATGTTGTTATATATCAACAAATGGAGGAGATTACACACTCTCAACTCACTGTCTCTCTATATAACACACTCTCTCACACTCTCTGATACACAAACAGAATATAGCTCTCACTAGCTCTCTCTGTTTTGTGCCTCTCTCTCAGCAGTGTGTTTCTCTCTTGCTTGCTATGTTTGCCGTGTATTCAACTCACCATCACCATTCTATTTTATACACCAAAACAGAAGGTGGAGGAGGCCTCATGGGTGTGTTGGCTGCCAGCCCAATATTCTCCTTTGAGCTGCTGTCCAGTTGAAAGCTTTGTCCCACCATGTGAAGACTTCACATGGCCAACTCCATGCTTTCTCCTTTGTTGCTGGCGCATGGCAAGCCTCATGGCTGCCAACTCAAGCCTCATGACTTGCCAACTCATGCCAACCTCTTTTGCCTTCCTTTTACCATGTGGGTTGGCCCCCCTTCCATGTGGCTGCCAACTCAATTTGGGTTGATCTCCTACAAATCACCCCCTCAACCCATATGAGGTGATCCATAATAGCACCCCCTGCCTGGAGTGCCCGGCACCCCCTCACTGGGGTGCCATGCAAAGCTTTACTTTGCAACTCTTTGAGATGGCATCTCTCCCTTCCATCCAGTCTTGGAGAGATCCCAATATGTCTCTAATTCAGGAGCAAAAGAAACTTTCTTCCCTGGGACATGCTTTGCTGTCTTGGTCTCTTTGCTCTGAGCTGTCTTTAAAATTGGCCGCAATGGCTCCGTCTTGTGCACCTTCGAACTGCCTCCATGCGTTCTTGTACACTTTGGTTGCCATGTCTGCTGGGCCCTATGTCTCTTCTGTGCATGTCTTGTACGTCTTGCCCGGTAAGTGACAGTAGCTCTGTCTGTCACAACCTTCTCCACAAGCCTGTACAGATTCCCCTCCAGTCGTCCATGTAGCATCACCGTATCTCCATGGATGACTTTGAGATTTCCTTTGCTAGATGTGAAGCTATAACCCTTCATGTCTAGCATACTTAAGGAAATTAGATTCTTCTTCAGTCTTGGCACGTGTCGGACTCCATCCAACGTGAAAATTTTTCCATCTTCCATTCTCAGCCGTACTGTTCCCATGCCAACAATCTTACTCACAGTGTTGTTAGCCACTCGAACAATACCTCCATCCTTGGCTTGGTAGGTAGAAAAAAGTTTCTTATCCATGCATATATGATATGTGCTTCCGGAATCTAAGATCCAGTCAAGTTTCGTCATACTCGACGAAACTGTAAATGCATACTCATCCTTAGCATTTACTGTAGCAGCGACATTTGATGAGCTCGCCTGTTCCTTGTGTGCCTTGTCCTCCTTGAGCTTTGCACAGTCTTTTATGAGGTGATCCTCCTGATCACAGTAATAACACTTTCTCTTGAAGCCTGACCTTGATTGCGAACGTCCTCTTGATTTGGATCTACCCCGTCTATCATTGGACCTACCTCTACCTTGCTCATTTTCTGATGCAACCATGGCATTTCCTTCTGGGTGTTTGCTACTGCTACCTTCCTGTTTCTTCATCGACTCATGAGAAATGAGCGTAGCAATCACCTCATCCAGTCCAAGAGCATCCTTCCCGTACAATAGAGTTGTCCTGAGATGCTCATATGATGCAAGTAGAGAGACCAGCAAGATCATAGCCCTATCTTCCTCCTAGGTCTTGTCTCCAATGGTGTCCAATTCCATTGTGATCCTATTGAACTCGTCCAGATGTTCTGTGAGGTTCGCACCTTCTGGCATTCTAAGTGTATATAGCTGCCTCTTCAGAGATAACCGGTTTGTCAAAGACTTTGACTTGTACCTCATCTCTAACTTTGCCTATAGCTCCGCCGGATCTACTTCACTGATGACTTCCCGGAGTGTGTTGTTCCCGAGATACAACTGAATTGTACTGTTTGCCAATTCCCTCAACTCCTCCCACTTGTCATCCTTCATGTCTTCCAGTTTGTTGGACTTTTTGAGAAGAGCTTTCACCAGACCTTCTCGTGTTAAAATGTTTTTCACCCTTTGCTGCCGCAGGGTAAAGTCATTACTGCCATTAAAAGGCTCAATCATGAAACTTGCGCCTTTTCCTACCATTGTAAATTTCTTCCCTTTTTAAAGAAATTCCGATTTAAGAATCTGACCGTACGGATGGGTCCGGAATATTCCAAATAGTTGGAACGCACTATTGGATCGCCAAAAAACGGACTCCGAATGGCCTAGATCTAGCCAAAAGAGTTTGAATGCCTCCGATTCAAAAACTAACCGTAGGGATGTGTCCGGAATACTCCAAATAGTTGGAACTCACTATTGGATCGCCAAAAACGGACTCCGAATGGCCTAGATCTAGTCAAAACAGTTTCAACGGTTCAGATCTGCTGAATCTGGTGCGCCTGAGAAGCACCAGATAATTCCTCCGGATTGGCAGGTCAACGGCTCGGTCAACGGCGCAGGGGCGCGGTCAACGGCGGCTCAGCGGCGCGGCTTGGCTGGCGGCGCGGCTCGGCCTGGTCAGCGGCGCGGTCAACGGCTCGACGGCTCGGCTCGGCTCAGGATGACGTCAGCCTGACGTCAGCTTCACGCGCGCCCCCACTCGTCTTCTTCCTTCGTCGGCGCGTGGGGCGCGTGGGTGAGAGTGGGGCGCGTGGGTGCGACTGGCCGTCACTCGCGATCTTCAGGTGGCGCGTGGAGGCGCGTTAGACCTCCGATTGGCCTGTGGTTTGAAGTTTTGGACTCCTCTCCTCCTGACCTTCCTCCTGGTATGCTCAAAAGTGGATTTCGACCACTTCGAAATCTGGACACTTTCGGAAAAAACTCAATTTTTTCTCCACCCGGGCACTGATACCAATTGTTGCGGATCTTGGGCACACCAGGGGACACTCACAAGCAAAAACACAAGACTTTTAACGTGGTTCGGCAAACCGGCCTACGTCCACGGGAGCGATGTTGTTATATATCAACAAATGGAGGAGATTACACACTCTCAACTCACTGTCTCTCTATATAACACACTCTCTCACACTCTCTGATTTGCTATGATGCCCTTTTTTCAACTCACTATCACCATTCCATTTTATACACCAAAACAGAAGGTGGAGGAGGCCTCATGGGTGTGTTGGCTGCCAGCCCAATATTCTCCTTTGTTGCTGGCGCATGGCAAGCCTCATGGCTGCCAACTCAAGCCTCATGGCTTGCCAACTCATGCCAACCTCTTTTGCCTTCCTTTTACCATGTGGGTTGGCCACCCTTCCATATGGCTGCCAACTCAATTTGGGTTGATCTCCTACACAAATGTCAGCATTGGCCCACGGCAAGATTCAAATAACCAAACTGCTTTTTTAAATGGGCTAGAGATCATGGTGATAATAGGGGGATTGAGTCCTGATTTGAAAAAACTATCAAAGACACATCTTCTTCTTATTATAGTTGGTTCAGTTCTCGGAGGTGTGGCTTTTGTGTTTTTATTTATTGCGGTGTTTGTCATTAGATATAAATTCAGAATAGCCAAACCTGTTGAGAATTCGGATTGGCAGACCATTGCCTCTCCGGTTTGCAATCTGAATCTCGGGTTAAAGTTATCTCTTTCTGAAATTCAGTATGCAACTAAAAATTTCAACTCCAAGTTGATGATAGGTGAGGGCGGGTTTGGAAAAGTTTACAGAGGAACTCTTCGGAGTGGTGAAAAAGTTGCTGTCAAAAGAAGTCAGCCAGGGCACGGCCAGGGCCTTCCAGAATTCCAGACAGAGATCATGGTCTTGTCAAAGATTCGCCACCGCCATCTTGTTTCCTTAATTGGGTACTGTGACGAAGAATCCGAGATGATCCTTGTTTATGAGTTCATGGAAAAGGGTACTCTGAGGAGTCATCTGTACAATTCAAATGCAGATTTGGATAAAGCATTTTCAGAGTCAAAATTATCATGGAATCGAAGACTTGAGATATGCATTGGGGCTGCCAAGAGTCTACAATATCTTCACAGAGACCGAGGCATAATTCACCGCGATGTTAAGTCAACAAACATCTTGCTTGATGATGATTATGTCGCTAAAGTTGCTGATTTTGGTTTATCAAGATTAGAAGCTCTCGATCAAACCCATATCAGCACAGAAGTGAAGGGCAGTTTTGGGTATCTTGATCCGGAGTACTTCAAATTCTTCCAATTAACTCAAAAATCCGATGTGTACTCATTTGGCGTGGTTCTACTAGAAGTGCTATGTGCAAGGCCGGCCATTAACAACAAGCTTCCATGGGAGCAAGTGAACTTGGCGGCATGGGGCTTGTCCTATCAAAAAAAAGGACAGCTCTGGAAAATTGTTGATCCATTGATCGCAGGGAATATTAGTCCCAATTCGCTGAGAACGTTTGGGGAAATTGTGGACAATTGTTTGAAAGAGCACGGAGTTGAGAGGCCGAACATGGCTGATGTTTTGTGGGATTTGGAATATGCACTGAAACTTCAACAGACTGCAACGCACAAAGAACCTCGTGAGGATAGCACAACGGACGTATCGTGGGCGTTGTCGGTACCTATTGCTCATCGGTTACCTTCTGATAGCATGACAATTGATGAAGATGATGTGACCGTGGATGATTTTTGGAATACAGGTGCGGATACAGGTACAGATGCATGTGTGTCCCAAGTGTTTTCGCAGTTGAGGATCGACGATGCTAGATAGTTAATTTTGAAGTTTTAAAGTAGAATTTTGAAATTAGATAGATAAATGTTAGTAGATTAAAAAATACTAAGGAGTGTATTAGTCTCATAATATGTAATTTTTACTGTCAGTCAATTGTTTTTATCTATCAATTTAAATTATGTCATGTGTGTCTGTTTTATTTTTCTTTACTTCCATTACTTAGGTGGGTTTGTTCCCAATGAATTACCCCAGTGGTGGATGATCTTGTTTGACTAAGGCCTGGTTTAGCATGTCTTAAAAAAAATATAAAGTCAAAACGTTACTTAAAAAGTTAAAAAGTTATTATTATTCATAAAAAAAAATACAAAAAAATAAATTTACACATAAAAAAATATAACTCAACTTTTTGCTGAAATGATAGGCTATCCGCGTGATTGGTTTACTGTACTGGTCTAGAAATGATTGCCTTCTTTGCAGGCAACCATTTAGACTGTGTTGTTCGGCTCGTGGAGGCCACCACGGGTTACATTTTGATAATCTGAACCGTCAGTATGTAGAACTCGTTGAATACTATATGCCTGTAAAAAATCACGTTAATCAGATATCGCTAAATATATGATCAAATCAGTTTTGTATAAAAAAAAATAAAAAAAAAATAAAAAAAAAGAGATGGTGTTATAGTTAACTGGTGAACAAAAACTAATCCAATCAATGTGATTTTTTACAGGCATATAGTACTCGACGAGTTTTACATATTGAACGGTTTAGATTATCAAAATGAGACTCGTGGTGGCCCCACGGGCCGAACAACATAGTCCAAATAGTTGCCCGCGAAGGAAGCAATCATGTCCTTATCTCCTACACTTTGCCTAGAATAAGATGACGTACAGCCTATTACACTTACTTCTCCTATATACTTATTTATACAATTTTTTATTACACATTTTTTCGTAAAAAGATAAAAAATTAACCCAAATATCTATCCTTTTTTTTCTTAATTTTTTAGTCTAAAAAAACAAAAACAAAAAAACTTATTTAAGGCACCCCAAACAACTTTTAAAACTCAGTTGCATCTTTAGTTGGATTTTGGCCAAATAATAATTATCAGCAATGTGCAGGTCGCCTTTGAGCACACATTTTTCCATTATGAGGGTATCACAACGGTAATTAGCCCCGAAAAATAAATGTACGGTCTTGTTTGGTGTATTTTATTGTAAGTTAAAAAGTGGATAATAGATGTTTTTCAATTCATATTAATTTTGGCTAATAAAGTTGTGAAGTTGTTTGAGAGAAACTTTCAAAGCAACCCATATAAGCTGCACCGAATAACCCTATTCTAGGAGTGATCTTCTGTGATTTTTTTTTTTTTTTTTTTTTTTTTTTTGTGGTGTTTTTTTGTAAATGGTTTTTCCTTATCAATTCGATAATGCTTGTTACTAGCAAATATGATGATATTACAAATAATTGTCATGTTTACAAATACTATGGCGGACGATTTTTGAGACATTGGTGATGGAAGAAAGACATGAGCATGAAAAAAAGCACATGCTGGTATTATGCTTTTTTCTCCAAAAGAAATTTCAGACAAGACTATTATTTCGACACATGATTTTTTGACCAACGAGTATGATTTTGTTTTTGTTTTTGTTTTTATTTTTTGTGATTCATCATACACGCAACCAAGGGTGAGCAGCCTCTTCCATCACACTTTCTTCGAATGAGGGAAGAAAATGACATTACTGCTGGCGCTTAGGGCTAAGCGCGGGTCGGTTGCGGCCACGAAACTTTCAATCCGTCATCGGTCCGTTAGATTGGCAGATTGGAGAAAATCAATCTGCATCCGTCCGCCAATCCGACGGATGTTGATTGAGCAGATTGGCGGTTTGGCGGATGGATGCGAATCGGTTTGGCGGTTTAAAATTTTATAAATTTTCAACATAATTCAACTTGTGCACTTCCTCAAAAAGAGAAAAAAAAATAAAGATTTACAAGTTAATGATGTTAAAAAAAGTATTACAATTACTGCATTTATCACTAAAGAAAAAATTTAAATTTTATAATATCACCCATCATACATCCTCATCCACATATTACAATCACAGCATGCCATTCACAATAAATATTACAATCTTGGTTCTTAAAATAAAAAACAATTCAAACCCCACACTAATAAACTTTCCCTAGTGCATTATATCGAATGGAGCACACACTAGTTAGTAGAAGGTATCGTCTCTGTACCCGTTACAATATTTAATATGTTTTTCAGAAATATAAATAACAGAGCTCGCGCTCTTAGACTCTCACAGGTCTCATATTGCTAACTTTTAATACGAGTTAGAATTGAAAAATACGAAAACTATAAGATACATTAATACGTTTTTGTCTTTTCCTCTTCAAGTCATCAATAAATATTATTCAAGAAGAACATTTTTTCATACAGAATAGTTTTGAATTATTTCGTCTGCTTTCAACTTGAAGAAAATCAGAAAGAAAGATATTAAACAAAGTTGAAAACACAATGTCTTAATAAATCACTCAATGGGTCGTCTCGTCTGGTTCGGGCGTTCGACGGCCAAACGACATACTCAATAATTCCACCATACTACTCATGCCAAACCTTGTGTATGAGAAAATCAAATCTACATACCGCGTCGCTTGCTGCAAGTGCGTCAGTGTACGTTGCATCCTCAGCTTTTCCGAAAATGCCCACGAATGTGGGGATACAAGCCATCGGATGTCCCCGTATTCAATTGTTTTGACTGTGTATCGATATTATTGGTGCAGCGCTTGCTTACCTACTCTAGTACGAACTGAGCTGGATTAGATTCTCCATTTTTTCAATAGTATGTATAATTACTACCACACTGAGTTCTGAAGTGCAGAAGACAATTGCACATTTTTCATTTGGAGCATGAGCTTACAAAGTTGATTCATGCTCTTGGTCCTTTTTTGTTTTAAGAGAGGGGAGAGGTGATAGAGGAGGCAGGGGACCCAAAAAAAATTTATTCCACTTAATTGTTTCTGATATATAACTTGATTTGACAAATTCGTTTTTTCTGAAAACATTACATAATTCACTCTTGATATCACCCAAAAACCCGGATTGTGATCTTTTCAGAGCGCACGATTATTTTTTTGTTGAGCGTAACACCAAACAATGACATAACGTTGTTTTCCAGCCTAGGTTTACAAACCAATAAAATCATGTTCCATACTCGCCCCAATTGCCTGGAACTCATCATTGTAATTTACTCGCGTACTATTCCAAACCGTGTTGATCATTGAATGCACTGAGGACCTCTGTTATTCATCTTGGAATCTTCCGCAGTGTTATAATAATCCTTCAAAGAAGTATGAGATGAAGTCATCAGACTGCTCATGACTAAGCTACTAAGAACATAAAAGTTTTTATTATTATTTAAATTTCTCTTCTGTTTATGAGACTACCTGAATGCAACATAAGTTACGTAGACATGTAGAATTATATAGATCGATGTGCCATTATTAAATATTGTACTAAAGTGATCTATTAATTGAGAGACATAGAGTACATCGTGTTCGATCATTATTTCCACAGATTCTCTCTTTTGCGTACATATTGTACATTAGGTTGTAGAGCCTCGTGAGCTTCAATAAAGCAGTTCACAGAAACTTTGATTTATTTGTATTAGCTACAACTATATATAAAGGCTTTTACTTGCCCGATTTATAATTCTTTAATAATATCCCATTACTTACTAATGGAATGAAGAGTTACACAGATAGCCAAACAGTTCTTGGGATCAAATTTGTTAGTAGTCTATTGACATGATTATGACACGTCATTGCTCACTACCCCCAACGGTATTTTTGTATGTGTAACATAGCAACTTTCATTGGAAAATGGGTAGAAAAATTTTCACTAAAAAATCAAGCATCTGGCATTTTGTGCTTTGCATCAATTCAATTCCCTCTTTCGATTACCATTATTTCTTCTAGCAGTTCACTGATCTATCAGAATTCCTCCACGGTTTGTGATTTTTTTTTTTATTTTTAAAAACATAAGCAGGGGACTACACGATTCTTGCAATGCAAATTAACAGAGGGCAAGGAGAGATTCGAGAGAAAAAAAGAAAGGTTGAAAGCAACCAAATTCCTCACAGAATTGTGGTTCTGAATCTTTATATATAAAAATCACCAAAACTAACCCTTTGCTTGCTGAAATTGGAGAGAAAATAGCACATACAAGATGTATAATGCATGACAGTTTAAATATAAAATTGTTAAAAAAACATTATTACACAACATTTTACATGGAAATAACTTTATAACCTTTGCTATTAATTGGATAGGTATCATATATTCCAAATAACTCCTATTTGTAAATTTATGTGGAAAGCTACAACTGAATAGTTTGCGATGATACAAATAAGTCGTGAGATCAAAATAAAATGAGAGCTCTGCTCACATATAGATGGTCCTCTGCAAGAACATTTCTCATTACAATGTTGTACGTGTACTCAATTAACGCTATGGAAATTTTGTACCGAAGTACCTGAAAGTGGATGACTGCACTGTAATGACTCACGATACCAATAGTACAGTTTGGGTTGTATTTGTTGGAATGGACCGAGTAAGGAAGATTGTAATTTATGTGCTAGGGACTGTTGAAGTCTTGAGATACATGTGTTTCTGAATATTTGATTGGATTGGATTTGCATCCATTTTGTTTAGTCATGTATTATGGTCTGGATTGGACTTTCATTAAATCCCAACTGCTTTGTTAGATCATGAGATTACTTTTGGATTGGACTATTCCTATTGAATCCGATATGTTCTATTTTATTCTAATTTTTTTACTAAACTTTTAAAAAATTTAAATAAATAGAACATCCTAAGTAAAAATTATAATAATTGATTTAAGTTTAGTTGAGGTTTTTTAATTTTTATTTAATTTGACTTTTCCAATAAATTAACTTTTAATTTATATATTAATAACATAAATTTTATAAATTGAACTTTAATTTATTTTTAATTAAATAAATGAATAAATAAAATTTTAAAAGGTGATATGATATTAGATGAGAGTCTTCATTTAATTATGACCATAGAGTGGCCCACGGGTAGCGAGAGATTTCAGTAAGAGTATACCCACACTAAATTGAGGCTAGAGAGATAGTGGAACGGCAAAAAATGTCAT